AGCCATATCACCAGTAAGGAAAGAAGTGAGCAGGCAATACCAAGCACAGTTGCTACTTTATTAACTGACACTCAAAAGGACTTAGGTAAGAAGCCCACCAATTGCTTATTCTGTGATAAATTACATTCAAGCCAGGACTGCATAAAGGCTCAAAAACTAAAACTTGAAGAAAGGATACATATAGTTTCAGAAAAAAGGCATGTTTTGCTTGTTTAAAACCTAATCATACCATTAGAAGATGTAAGAGTTTCGTTAAATGTTTATTTTGCTCTAAAAAACACTTCCCAATTATGTGTCCTAACTTGTTCGATAAGAAAGGTTCAGTATCTGATAATTCAGTGAGTACTAATGCTAATGCAACTAATTCCTCAGACATTAATAACGTACTAACTAGCATAAATACTTGTACTGAAACAGTTTTGCAAACAATTCTTATTAAACTTGTCCATAAGAATAAAACGCTTATAGTAAGAGCTTTATTGGATTCGGCATCACAAAGGTCCTATATTATATCAAATTATGTAAGAAGTCTAGATCTTAAAAAATGTGCCGAAGAACAAATTATACAGAGTGTTTTTGGTGGAACAGAGTCAACACCAAAAAGTCATAATCTATACAACATGTTAATACAGAATTTGAACGAATCATTTGAAATCAACGTTTCTGTTCTGGAACAAATTAAATTATGCAATTATATACCCCGACTTAGTAGTACAGCTTGCATAGACTACCTAAAAAGTAAGAATATAGTAATTTCAGAGATAAATTCTAAAATTTCAGAAATAAGTGTACTTTTAGGCGCTGATATTATTGGCCATCTTTTCACAGGGGTTATAGAACGAATTGACAATAACTAATTTGCTATAGAAACTCGTTTAGGGTGGACCATAATGGGTAAACAGAGTAGAGCCAACAGTTTTTTCGACGTATACTTGTTTAAGCTGTTGTTCAATATCAGAATTTTGGGATTTAGATGTACTAGGTATTAGGGATCCAATAGAGGTAAAGACCAAAGAAATGTTAGAACACGAAACAATATCAAATTTCTTGGAAACAATATCTCTTAACAGAGATAATAGATACGAAGTTTCCCTTCCATTTATTGAAGGCTACCCTAATCTTTTAGACAATTTTGAGTTGTCAAAACAGAGGTTATTATCTTGTACTACAAAACTAATAAACTCTTGCATATTTACAGAGTACGAGGATATTTTTCTTGATTGGGAAAAATCAGGTATTATAGAAGAAGTTCCAGTCAATGGAATAGCAAATAAGTCGCATTACCTACCTCATCACGCAGTGGTCAAAAATTCCAGCGCAACTACTAAAATTAGGCTCGTTTTTGACGCTTCTGCCAAGGATAGAAACGGAAATTCTTTAAATAGTTGTCTAGAAAAGGGTCCAAATCTTATTGAGCTCATTCCTTGTATATTACTTCAGTTTAGAGTAGGTGCAATAGGAGTTGTAGCGGACATTAAAAAGGCATTGCTTCAAATAAGTTTAAAAGAAAAGGATAGGGATTATTTAAGATTTCTTTGGTGGGAAAACTTTGAAAAATCCAAATTAAAAATATATAGACATTGTAGAGTTGTATTCGGGGTCTCTTCCAGCCCATTTTTATTAGCTGCAACTATTTTATATCATTTGGAAAACGTACCAGATCATCTTAAGCACACGGCAAATATACTTAAAAGATCATTTTATGTTGACAACTGTGTGACCAGTCTTGAAAATGAACTTGAATTAAAAAGGTTTATTGACGAGTCTAAAGAAATAATGTTGAAAGGCCAATTTGAACTCAGAGGCTGGATTTACTCATTTAGGAAAAGTGATCCAGAAATGACCTTAGATTCGAACATTTGTTCGGTATTGGGATTATTATGGAATTTCAAAGATGATACACTTTTTTGTGACATTGAAACTGTATCTAAATTATGTGAAGTACCTGTCACTAAAAGAGGTATTCTATCTGCCTCTCAAAGAATTTTTGATCCAATTGGTTTTACATGTCCAGTTACTTTGGTACCCAAAATTTTGTTACAAAGTACCTGGAAATTAAAGGTAGGGTGGGATTCAGAGTTACCTGAGGACATAGTATCAGAGTTTAAAGGTTGGTTCAAACAAATTTCATGGATTAATTTTTGTAAATTACCTAGAAATTTAACGGAAATTCCATTAAATGATAAAATATATTCAAGTTTGCATGTATTTTGTGACGCTAGCAAAAAGGCCTATGTAAGTTGTATTTTTATTCGAGCGGTAGCGGATGGAAAAATTTGCATTCAATTGATTCAAGCAAAATCGAGAGTAGCACCGATCAAAATTATGACTTTACCACGTTTGGAATTGATGTCAGCGTTAATTGGGATTAGACTATGTCAGACAATAAAGAAAGTTGATATATTTAGTAAAATGAAAACTTATTATTGGACTGATTCTATGGTGGCAAGTGCATGGATAAAAACTAGAGAAGACTGGAACACCTTTGTTGGTAATCGAGTTAAAGAAATAAGATCTTTTAGTCAACCCGAAGAATGGTTTCATGTTCCTGGACATTTGAACATTGCAGATCTGCCATCAAGGGGATGCAATGGCAAACAATTATTAAAATCGCAATGGTGGCAGGGACCTGGCTGGTTAAAAGATGAGGAAGCACTTTGGCCTAAGTCTGAAATTGTATATTCTCCAGAAGTACTTACTGAAAGAAAAAAAATTATAATATCTTCAGTAACTACAAAATTGGAAATATTTACAGAAAATTTTAAATATTTTTCAAATTATTCAAAAATTATAAGAATCATTGCGTGGATATTTCGTTTTTATTGCAATGTTAATGGAAGTGAGAAGAAAACAGGAGAATTACTGTTTACTGAAATAAAATATGCCGAGTTACAAATCTTTAAATTGATCCAGTTAGAAAGTTTTGGTAAAATTACTATTGATGTTGTACATAATCTACAAGTTATAAGAGATAACAATAATTTATTAAGAATAAAAACGAAACTATTATTAAGAGAAGATACGAATGAGTTTAAGTATCCTATCTTGTTACCCTCTGAACATCATATTGTACAAAAAATGATTTTAGAGAAACACCGCACTCTATCTCATGCTGGTGTTCATACTCTTTTAGCTATACTGAGGGAAGAAGTTTGGATTTTAAGAGCTAGAAAAACAATAAAAAAGGTTTTGTCAAAATGTGTAATTTGCAAACGCCATAATCAGAAGAAAATTGAAACACCATTTGCACCACTTCCTCAAGATCGCGTAAGGGATGCAGCTGTATTTGAAATTACAGGATTAGATTATGCTGGTCCACTTTATTTAAAAGGAGGAAGTAAAGCTTGGGTTTTATTATTTACATGTGCAATTTACAGGGCGGTACATTTTGAACTCGTAACTTCAATGTCGACAGATTCATTTATACTGGCACTGAGAAGATTTATTGCCAGGAGAGGACGAATTTCAAAAATATATTCAGATAACGGGACAAGTCTAGTTAGGAAAGAATATTTAGCAAACCTTGTTCAGATTGGAGACAGAAAAACTTACCAAATCAATGTTGGAGACATAGTCCTGTTGGAAGTTGATAACAAAAAAAGAGTAAACTGGCCATTAGCCAAGGTTTTAGAAGTATACCCCGGCCGAGATAAAGTCGCAAGGATGGCTCGAATAAAGACAAACGATCGAGAATTATTACGTCCTTTTCAAAGACTTTTTCCTTTAGAAATTACACACGCCGAGGTCGCGCAAAAACAATCTAGCTTAATACAGTCAAGAGATAACGATGACAATAGTAAGAATACAAGTGAAGAAAGAAGTAAAAAAGAGGACAACAAGAAGAAGAAAATAGAGAAAATGAAGAACGAGGAAGAAGCTGGACTCCCGACCACAAGATATGGAAGAATTGTTAAGAAACCAGATAGATTCAAATTTAATGTTTAGTTCCTATCATTTTTAACAATTTTATTTAGTCCAGTTCCACATCTTATTTAACAATTTTAGTTAGTCCAGTTTCATATTTTTTACAATATTTTTGTCCTGTTTCATATTTTTTTAACAATATTCATTGTTAAGGTGGGAGTATGTTGAGAATAGTTAGAACGCCTATGTCTATTCAGTTTTTCTTTAAAATAATGGAATAGTGACTTTTTTGAAAACTTTTGTCAATCAATAAAATAAAAAGTCATTACAGTAAAAGAAAAAAGCTATTTTTATTAAAACAAGATCTTTCCGTATTCTACAGTTAATGCTTATTGTACCTTAGCAGATGAATGATTATATACAAGGGATTTATGAAAGTGTTATTTGCCATTGTTAGCTGAAATTTGAGTTTATGTGCCCAATATCTCACCATTATAGACTTATATACTATATTTGGAGCCCATAGAATCAATTCACGCAATTTAGTTGTTTCTCTCTCTATTGTAATTTCTCATCCAATCCACTTTTAAAAAATATATAGAATTATTTCTGTCTCATTCCTTATCTAAAATACGCTGTCAACTACTGGTCCTCAATTACTAAAAATTCCAAAATATGTAATGTCAGTCTAGTAATTTTTTGTACATTTTCTAATCAAAATTTATAAACCATAAAAAAACTAAAATCGTTTTTTTAAAAATACGTTGTTCCAAAAAAATGTTTTTGTCTAAAGATTCGTAGATATCAGAGGTTAACACGTGAATGGCGTCTTGAGCAGATTTCTTCTCTCTAAAACCGTATTGTGATGTTGATAATGAATTATATTTATTAAGGAAATGATTTAAACGAGTTTTAACAATCTTTTCAACATCTTTACTCAAAGATGTTATGGTAGATATAGGACTGTAATTGGACATATGAATATGTTTTCCACTTTGAGTTGTCTGACGTCTCCTTCACAGGGGTTTTTAACTAAATCCTTAGAGATAACACTTCCTGATACGATTGTAATATCTTTACGACCTCTAGCTATTTATCTCATTAATTCCTTAATTAATTATGATATTTGTTTTCAGAAAATAAGAAGAAACGATTACATTCAATAACAATTTAAATTGATCTAAGAAGCGTTTGATGAGTACCATAAATGTAAAATCTTTGAACAACACTTTAAATATCGACAAGTACTTTACAACGATAGAAAATATAACAATATACAGCAAAAATAAAAATCTAAACGGTTGCACAAATAGAAAAAGAAACTGGGATAGTTCCTCAGATGAAGAACAACCAATAGTTCAAACTAAAATGGCTAGAGTAAACGATAGTTCTAGTGATCAGGATAAGCCAATAAGAAAAGTAATTAACTTTTTAAAGCGATCAAGAAAAAATAAGAACAAGTCATATCAAATTCCGATAATTAAAAATAACTATAGCGAGGAATATTTAAAAAAACACAATTTTATTGAACCTGAAATAAACAGTGAACCGATAACTGAAAATGAGAAACTGTTAGCTAATAATTCTAATAGTCATCATAATTTCCTTAAACAATTTACACAAAGTAAACTCATTGAGAATGAGCACTGCAGTAAAACAATAAATAAAACTAAATCTACAACTCAAGATCAAAAAAATGGGGTTTTAACTGTACCCCTGACACATATTTTTAAGCAAACGAAAAACATTCAGTCTATGGAAAATGAAAAAAATAAAATTTACCATAGGGAGTATAAACGCAAACGTACTGCGGATCAAACTGAAAAGGATAAGAATATGACTACAAAAGGAAAAAGTATTGACAACTTTCTAAATGAAATTACACAAAAAAATATTGAGAATGAAAACTTTACTACCGTAATTAATTCAAAAGAACTTCCAATAGTACCATCGATCACCACTATTTGTCGGCAGTTGGCCACAAGAAATAACAGCCTTGATAATTTTCTTGAGAAAATTACACAAAAATTTACTCACAGTGAATCCTTAAATGTACCAAACAAAGAAATAAAATATCAAGGTGAAAAAATAATAATACATACAAAATCTAATCCTTTGACTTGTTTCCAAATTAAATCTCAGAAAACTACTGAAGGAATTAGCAATAATAATAAACCTCAAGATGAATTTACAGAGACTTCAACGGCATCTTTAAAAGAAAATGCTTTGAATATGGAAAACATTTCACAAATAACAGAGTTACCTAATTCAAAGTCATTTGAAGATGTTTTGAAATCATTAAAATCAATGAAATCTGAAAACGATCATTTTAAAATTCATGGAAAAACTAAAAGTAATAAATATTTGTCGAAAAAAATTGAACATAAATCCATTATAAATGATAACTTTAACAACATTAGTCAAGATGAAGGACGTATTAATTTAAATATGTCCAAAACTGAAAGTAGCTATATATTTTCATTTAGTTCATCAGAAGATAATGGAACAGAAATTCCTAAAACACAGTCATCAAATATTATTCCAAACAAGAAAAATGAACTTAAAGATAATCCAATAAATGTTGCAAAATCGGAAATCATTCAAAATAATCAGTTGTCAGAAAGAAACTGCTGTAAAAATTCTGATGAAGAATGTATTGAAAGGAATATGACTAAAAAATTATGTTCTGATACATCTTACCAAGAAGAGTTCAGAAACAATACTTGTGCTCATTCTAGTAATAAAAATTTTCAAACTATCATATTAAATGAATTTGAAGAAATCAAAAATAAATCCATAAATGTTGAAAATAATAAAGGTGGATATAAAAATTATACTAAACTGAAAACAACAAATAATTTAACTAAAAACCCAATTTTGAAAATGATTCATTCCCACAATTATAAAGTAATTTCAGATGAATATGTTGATGAAGTATCTTCAAAAATTATAAAAGATTTTACACCAATTTTTTCAAATTTAAACAATGATGGTGGTAAACCAGTAAAAAGTGTTCATAAGAATGTTAGAGAAATTACTGAAAAAAAGAAATTCTCTTCAGAAAATAACTGTACGCAAAATCAGTCAGACGAAGATAATAAATCAGATAAATCTAATACAGATCAAATAAAAAAACCCTGGAATAATTTGTTAAATAATGAACTAAAATTAATACTTATGGGAGAATATGAAAAATGTAAAAAACTACAAGAGAAATATAGCATAATAAATGATGATAAGATAACAAGAATTTCAGATAGTAACTCTAAAGTTGTAGATCGGAATAACTTAAATGACTCTACTCTACATCAGTTAGAGGAAGATGATATTTGTTCTAACCCAAATGTGGTAGATAATAAATTTGATGATATAATTGAAAAAAATGGTTCACATAAATCTAGTACAAATCAAACAAAAACATCGTGTAATAATTTATTAAACGATGAACAACTAAATTTAATTCTTACGGAAGAATATGAAAAGTCTAAGAAGAGAGAAGAGAAATATGGAAAAAGCCAAGATGTTACGAAAACAAGAATTACAAAATTAATAAAATACAGTAAAATGAAGAATGAACATACCAACAAGATGTGTTTATTGAAACGTTACAGGAAAGGAAAATTAAAGATATACAGGTAAGTCAACTTCTTTTGTGATTTAGAACTTGGTAGGACACTACAGTTATCTAAAAGCATATTTACTTAAAATATCTTTTTTTTTATTTTATTTCTGTTCTATTCTGTTTGTTTTATTTAATCCACATACTTTGATTACTATACGGCGCAAAAAAGACGTTTGACACGCCCAACTTAGGGCGCAGCCATTTTGATGCAATTGCTACTAGGTTAGACAACACATTTTTCCAAAATGTTTAACTGGTAGCCTACATCTTGGTATTTTGAGATTTTAAATGACAGCAACAAATGTAGTAGAAACTTTTATTTATTTTAAATAATATACAAGAAACTTCTTTGAAGTAAAGTTATAATTGCGAGTGCATCTTAAAATAGAGGTGAGTGGTTTTAAATTATTTCTTAAGCTGTGTATATGATTTTACCTTAATGTTATGATATTTTTCGCCAGTCCCATGCCCATAAACAAACATTTTATTTTTGTAATGTAATAAAAATCTTTAAGGCTAAACAATCTAATATTGTATTTTGCATTTTTTCAGCTGTAAATATGGTAAGAAACTATAAAATAAAAACAAAGAAATGTGACATTGAAGAAGCTCTAACTAAAAGATATAGTTTTTGAAAGAGTAAAACCAAATTTGGTAGTCACACTTTTATTTAAAAAAAAAAAAAAAAAAAAAAAAAACACTAACATGACATATGTTTCGAAGTACAACTTCTTTTACAAATGTGACTATTTACAATTCGGTATCCAATATATATACGAAATAATTTAACAAACCAAAGTACTTAAGAAAACATCAATAACATTACAAAATAAACTAACTATTTAAAGTAAATAAGGGTACTTAGGTAATTATAATATCCATCAGATAACAATAAGATAGCCCATTACCGGGATTATCTCACAGAAAACTGGGAAAGACATTTAATAAGGGTGAATTATTAATATCTAATTGATCATTTAGTAAGTTATCTGAATTTTTAAATCTATTTATTTCAAGTGTTTCTAAATGGTTTAATTTAAGGCTCTTATTTTCTACATGTAAAATTTCAAAGTTGTCTGTAAAAGAATGATTTTCAGCTAAAATATGATTTGAGTAAGTAGAATTATTTTTGTTTTTTGTATAGCTATTATAATGTTCGGAATAGCGTTTTTTGAAAGTACGGCCTGTTTGACCAATATACAATTTTGGACAACTACCACAATTTAATTTATATACCCCCGATTTATTATTAGGATTAATTTTACCCTTATTGTTTTTAATATACTTCCCAAGCGTATTATTGGTTTTAAAAGCTACGTTAATATTTTGGTTTTTTAAATATGATGATACCTTTTCACTAGGAGCTCCTATATATGTAAGACTCTTATATCTGCAATTTGGATCTTTAATTATGGGATAAACTTGTTGAATAGCCTGTTTAAAAAGTTTTTTCTCTAAAATGTTGTCTACTAACTTTGAATTAAAATTATTATTTACTGCGATTTGTTTAATGATATTTAATTCTTTTGTGAAGTTCTCTTTGGTAAGGGGAATATTAACTAATCTATGGATCATACTGTTGTATGCTGCCAGCTTTTGTTTGTATGGATGAGATGAACTATTATTTATTGTAATATCCGTATGTGATGGCTTATGAAATATCCGAAAACTATGGCCTTTATTATTTTTAATAATATTTAAGTCTAAAAAATTAATTGAATTATCCTTCTCTGTTTCCATAGTAAATTTAATATTCAATTAAATTAATTTTTTAGACTTAAATATTATTAAAAATAATAAAGGCCATAGTTTTGGGATATTTCATAAGCCATCACATACGGATATTACAATAAATAATAGTTCATCTCATCCATACAAACAAAAGCTGGCAGCATACAACAGTATGATCCATAGATTAGTTAATATTCCCCTTACCAAAGAGAACTTCACAAAAGAATTAAATATCATTAAACAAATCGCAGTAAATAATAATTTTAATTCAAAGTTAGTAGACAACATTTTAGAGAAAAAACATTTAAACAGGCTATTCAACAAGTTTATCCCATAATTAAAGATCCAAATTGCAGATATAAGAGTCTTACATATATAGGAGCTCCTAGTGAAAAGGTATCATCATATTTAAAAAACCAAAATATTAACGTAGCTTTTAAAACCAATAATACGCTTGGGAAGTATATTAAAAACAATAAGGGTAAAATTAATCCTAATAATAAATCGGGGGTATATAAATTAAATTGTGGTAGTTGTCCAAAATTGTATATTGGTCAAACAGGCCGTACTTTCAAAAAACGCTATTCCGAACATTATAATAGCTATACAAAAAACAAAAATAATTCTACTTACTCAAATCATATTTTAGCTGAAAATCATTCTTTTACAGACAACTTTGAAATTTTACATGTAGAAAATAAGAGCCTTAAATTAAACCATTTAGAAACACTTGAAATAAATAGATTTAAAAATTCAGATAACTTACTAAATGATCAATTAGATATTAATAATTCACCCTTATTAAATGTCTTTCCCAGTTTTCTGTGAGATAATCCCGGTAATGGCCTATCTTATTGTTATCTGATGGATATGATAATTACCTAAGTACCCTTATTTACTTTAAATAGTTAGTTTATTTTGTAATGTTATTGATGTTTTCTTAAGTACTTTGGTTTGTTAAATTATTTCGTATATATATTGGATACCGAATTGTAAATA